GCCAGAGTCCTTGAGGGCTCAGGAGCAGCAGGGGTGCTGGTGGGGATGGGGTCTAGACTGCAGGCACATCTGCTGTGAGGCCTGTTCTGGGTAGGGGGTGGGATGAGGAGAAGTCAGCCTGAGGCAGGGGGCCCCAGGGGGAGCCGGGCAAGGAACAGGGAGGGCCTGAAAGGAAAGGTGGATGGCACAGGGCCGGAGCTGGCACAGGTGGTAAGGGTGGGCTAAGACGGTGACAGTGACACGGAATAGAATGCGGCTCCCGTGGCAGGGCGTGCTGGAGTCCCGAGCATGGGCAGGGGAGGAGCTGCCCACAGGAGGGCCAGGCTCCACTGGGAGCCCAGGGGAGGCTCCAAGGGGGCAGGTGGCCAAGAGGAAATAGGAGTGGGCCGCCCAGGGAGAGGAAAGTGGGTTCCCTGCCTGCCCTCCCTACCCTACTCCTGCACCTGCCCCTGCCCTCCCACAGCCCCAGGCCGGATGGTCCTTGCTGACATTCAGCTTGACTGGTCCCTACCTACCTGGCCCACAGCTTTCTGTGGCTCCTGTTGGGGGGTCAGGGGCAGGGAGTGGCTTTGACCCTGGAGTCCTGCAGGTCTGGGTGGGGAATTCTAGCTCTTTTCTTTACATGGCACTGGGGAGCACTGGATTCGTCCCATGACATCTCTGGGCCTCAGTTTTCTCTGTGAATTGGGAGGGCAGACCCCTCCCATTCGGGGACTGGCCCCAGAGGGTGGGTAGATGAGAGTCATGACCGGCTCCATGGGGGTCCTCCTTCTTTCGTGGGTTCCCCCACATCCCATGTGGCCTCACCCCCGCCTCCTGGGCTCCCCAGCTCCAGGAGCTGCGTGGGGGTCATGGGAAGTCCTGGGATGCACAGGCCCTTGGGGGAGGTGCCCTGAGCAGCTCGTGGGAGGAGGGGACCACATGTGGGAAGGCGGGGAGGTGGGACCCGCGGTCAGGCCAGGCCGTGAGGGCCGGGCATCCAGCTCAGAGGGGCACTCCCACTCCCGCCTCAGGCGTCCAGGCCTCCAGGAAGCCAGGCGGGCGCCCAGGCGACATTTCCTGCTATTAATGACGTTTAATCTAAACAGGCCCTAATATTTACCTCCAGACGCCTCCGGCCTCAGAGGGTGCCAGACAGCAAGAGCGATGAGCCTCATCCAGCCAACCCCCGCCCCCAGCCCATGCTTCTCCAGGCTGGGGCCAGAGTGTCAGCCACATGTGAGGCGGCCACTGGGCACCTGGAGGCCCCGGTTTCAGCCTCTCCCGGGTGAACCCCAAAAGCCTCAGTTTCCCCATCTGTGAAATGGGAGTGATCACCAACCTCCCAGGTTCAGAGACTGGGATGACTGAGCAGCCACTCAGTAGGCCCACAATAGTGCAGTCCCACCTCTCCCTCCAGATCGTACCCCTGGCGATATGACAGGACTGAGGGCGTACTGGCTGCCCTGCCCACCTCCACATTCTCTCCCTGGGCAGGCGGAGCTGGGACCAGGGACGAGGCCAGGGCCCATCGTTCTGCTGGTCTGCGCCTGTACCCCAGCTACTGCACCCACACCCTGCCCACAAGTCTACCACCTGCCCCCCCACCCTGCCCATCAGAACCTGACCGGGCTCGTGTCCCCCTAAATCTGCCCCAGCAATGGTGGAAAACTGTGAACCCACTGCCACAGCTTTCTCGTGGAGCCCTGCCTGTCCACAGGACAGTGCGTGGAGAGGAGGGGGCCTGTAGGTACCCCGCCTGGCTCAGTGACCCCTGCCTGACCCCCACCCACCAGCCTGGGAGCCAAGTCGTGGGCACAAAGGGAATAAACAGTTTTAATTCTGGACGAGGACTTCTTGTTAAGGAGATTGTTTACATCGGATATAAATACACACCATTTCACGTCACTTGGGCTTTTTGAAAATCCAAGAAGGGAAGATGTGGGGAGCGGGGATACACAGACCTCCCCCCAGGGTCCCGTGGGACCGAGGACACTCCCGGCCTGACCCATGAGGCTCCTAGGCCTCTGTCCCCACAGAGGAGGCTGCAGTGGGAGGGAGCCAGCCGTCAGGAGGGGGAAGCAAGTGTCTGAGGGAGATGAGGGGGCCCAGCAAGGCTGCTGGGGTGGACCCCCTGCCCCCGACCCCCCTGCCCTCCAGCTCCAAGGCTGAGGAGAGAAAGAGGAATAGAGTATGGGGAAACTGAGGCCCGCCTGCCAGGGGTACCACATGGGGGCTGTCAGACTGAGTTCCCCTACAGCCCCGGCCCCGCACCGGAAGACAGGTGACTGATCCTGCAAAGCCGGAATGACGGAAGCCTCCTGCCTCGGCCCACGTCCTCCCTATGAGAAGCCTTCCAAACCCTGAGGAACCCAGGCGGAATGGTGGGATTTCAGATTTAGGGACAAGGAAGGGGGTTTGGTTTCACCCACCTTAGAGACCCCTCCTCCTGGAGGAAGGGATTGTGCTAGAAAAATCGCATCCCCTCCACCCCCAAGTGCAGCGGTCAGCCGGTGTCAGCCATCCACTCTCTAGTGTGATTTAGCGTGGCGGCCAGGGATGCACCAGGATGGCGGAGCTTTGACAGGGGTGAAAAAGGAAGGGTGGCCAGAGGCACGAATGTTGACGCAGAGGGGCGTGAGATGTAGAAGGGGGCCGTGAAGCTGCCCGTGAAGCCGGCGGGGCTGGCTCCACCCTCGCCAGCCTGGTCCCCCTGCCCGCGTGTCCCTGCCCACCGCCCTCTGCCTCCCACAGCCATGGCCTGAGAGCTGGTCCTCACAGCACAGCAGCAGAATCGAGGTCACAGGGGGAGTGTCACGCTCCAGGGCACATGGAGAGCTGCTGTGGGTGGCAGGGGGGAGCCAGTGGGCAGTCTCTGGGCTTCGAGGTCCCTCTAGGATGGAGCAGGAGAACCCAGAGCCCTGAATAAATGGAGTTGGTCCCTGACTGGGGATGACCGTGAGTGAGGGTGGAGGGGGTCCCGGACGAGCACAGGCAATTCAGGGACTGTTGGGCAACAGGGCCCTGGAGGAGGAGCCCACAAGTGGGCTTGGGTTTGGGCAGAACACTTGACACTGTGACTGCCAGGTGCTGGCTTGCAGTCCTGGGAAAGATAACACCCTGTTGGAGCCTCCTTCCCCAAAAGCCCACCATCAGGGCCACTGCCTGGAGTCTGCAGCATTCCTCTGCACAGACAGCGCCGTCCCTGGTGACCTCCTTTCCCGAGAGTCAGGCCCCTCTGCCTTGTGGAACTCCGGGGTCCCTGGTGAGCCATGGCCCCCCTCTGAGCTGCGCCAGGGAGCTGGGGAGATGGGGAAGGCCACAGTACCTGCTAAGATTAGGGGGGAGGCCACAGCACTATGCCTGGCACCCAGAAAGGGGCAAGGCTGTTGGTCATGACAATGACGACTATTATGCCTGCTGCTTCTCGGGCACCCAGGTCAGGGAAGGAGCCCCAGCCTCACCACCGCCTTGCTGAGCATGCCTTTGATGTCTCTGGGCTCTTCTGGGCCAACACCCTCCTGCTCTAGCCACACTACAGAGTCCTGGAGTCAGAAGCTGTCTCCACAGGGCCTCAGCTGGGGCTGGTGGAGACAGTGCTGGCCTTAGGTTGCCCAGGAACTTACTCTATGATCTTGGCAAGACCCTTTCCCCCTCTGAGCCTCAGTTTCCTCATCTGTAAAGTGGGGATATAAACAGCTTTCCTGTCTCCCACCCAGACTGCTCTCCAAGACCTTGAACTTGGGGACAGGTCATCTGCCTGCAGCCAAGCTGGGGAACCCTGTCTTTGCTTCCTCCCTCTCCTGTCTCATGCTCTGAGCCACATAGGCCACGGGTCACCCTGAGTATGTGTGACTTCTCTCTGTAGAGAAAGGCCCGGATTCCACCTCATCAGCTTCAGTAGTTGTGGCCAAGTTTGAGGGCGGGCCTTGTGGCTGGAGGTGCTGGGGATATCCAGAGCACTCTCCCCCATCACAGGTCCCTCTCCCCCATATACCAGTCTGGAAAGGGCTCACAGGAGCTTAGGCACTTAACAGAAGGCACATGGGAGGCAATCCTGGAGTCCAGCTCGGAGGAGGTGATCAAAGGCCCAAGACAGAGAAATGCTCTCTCCCGAGCAAAGGCCAGATGGAGACATGATGAGTCAGGACAGAGCAGCTGGTCAAGTCCCCTCTGCCCCTGGAGGGGAGAAGAAAGGCTTCTCTGTACGAGGAGACAGTACCCTTGGGCTGGCAGGCCCAGGTTCGAGTTGCTGTGTGTCCGTCTTTGGTTTCCTCATCCACAGGATGGGGCCATGAGCCCTGCCTTTCTGAGGCAGCAGGCAGGATCTTCAGAGAGCATCCCTGGAGTGAGGGCTTTGGGAAGACTTGAGCAGTGCTGGCGGAAGGCGTTGGAGGAGGTGGAGTTGGGTTCGGATTCTGACCCTGCCATTGCCCAGCTGTGGCACCTGTGCATGTCACGTAACCTTTCCAGCACCAAGAAATGGGTGAAAAACACCCTCTCCTTTGTGGGGTCGTTGCGAGTTCAGGTGTCAACCCAGATATCGAAGCATTTGGTGTAGCAGAGCATGCCGCGGCTGTCACGCCACCTCATTGTGCAATTCATAGAGGCATCAGGTGGGGAGTCTTACACGGAAACGAACCGTCCCCCTCCATTCCTGCCACATCGATGTCCCCTGATATATTCTTTTTGTCCTTGTTCTTTTTCTGAGGATCTCCTTCTTGGGAAAAAATGGTCCACATGAGAAGCAGCTCCTGGCTACCCCTCTGAGTTCTCAATGGACACAATATACCCCAGGGATAGCAAATAATTGGCATTTAGGTGAATGCACCCAGTCTGGAGCCTGTGGCAGACATTGCTCATCAACCAAAGCACAGTGGCTTTAGACTCTCAATGCAATACACCTGGCAGCCATCACCAATCTATCAAGATGAAACTGAGTTGCCATCTGGGCACCGCAGGTGTCTGGGTTGGCATGCCCAGCTGAGCCCTGACCTTTGGCCCCTGCAGAGTCCTCCTGACTAAGCCTCAGGCCCATTAGCCAGGGCCTGGGTGAGCACACAAGGGCCAGTGCTGAGGACGTGGTGCTGGCCTGAGCCCTTGGAGCTCTTGTGGATGCTGATCAGGTCGCCGCTGCCAGGCTCACGCTCTGCTCCACGCCGGCGGAAGAGACCGCGGACGGTGGCCTGGAAGCTGCTGGTGACAAAGCAGTAGACGATGGGGTCCATGCAGCTGTTCAGGCTGCTGAGGGTCACAGCCACGTGGTAGACCACGAGGCTCGTGTGGTGCGGCATGTTGGGCCACAGCGCCACGGCCACCTGGCGGGCGTGGAAGGGCGTGAAGCAGACGAGGAAGATGACAAGCACCGTGAGCAGCAGCTGCATGGCCCGCACACGGCGCTGGCGGCCCTGACGCAGCAGGCCCGGACGTGACAATGCGCATACGATGCGGCCCGTGAACACGCTGATGACCAGCAGCGGCAGCAGGAACTCCAGGACGGTCAGCGCGAAGATCCGGCAGCAGGGCCGGCTGCCAGTGGTCACACCCAGCACGGACAGGGTGACGGCAACGGCGGCCAGCCACACGAAGGCACACACGGCCTTGGCGCAGGCAGGCTGGCGCCAGCGGTGGGAGCCATCGGGCCGCACGATGGCCAGGTAGCGGTCCACACAGATGCAGGTGAGGAAGAGGATGGAGCAGTGCATGTTGACAAAGTAGCCGAGGACGTGCGGGAAAGCGCAGTGCAGGCAGCCACGTGCACTGTAGAAGACGGCGAAGCGTGTGGGCAGGGACAGGCCCACCAGCAGGTCGGTCACCACCAGGTTGATGGTGTAGATGACTGATGGCATCTTGGCCCGGGTGCGGCAGCAGAAGACGTACAGCGCCAGCCCGTTGAGCACCAGCCCCGCCAGGAAGATGGCGCCGTGCACCGCCATCAGCGCCAGCCACAGGCCAGGGAAGGCAGTGTGCAGCTCCTCGTCCAGCAGGGCAAACAGGTGGAACAGCGACATCTCCGGCACGCTGGTGTTGGCCCACGCTGCTGCCACCACCGTGGCATTGGGGGCTGCTGCCGCCACCGTGGCATTGGGGGCTGCTGTGGCCAAGGGCCCCGCTGGAGACACAGAGGGCATGACAGCAGCCAGCATGCCCTGGGCCTGGAAGCAAGGAGATAGGGTTGCCTGAGGTGCCAGCTGGCATTGCCTGGCTCACCTGCCCACCGCGGGCCCCAGCACTCCCCATCCCCATCCGTTGCCTGGCTGGGGCGTGAAATGTCTGCTCTCTCCCCTCCCCTCAGACGGAGACTCCCAAACCAGCAGAAAAGGCGTGGGCTTTTGGAGTTAGACGTGGGTTCAAATCCCAGGCCTGGCACATGCCAGAAAAGCTTTGGCAAAATGCTAGGGATTCTGAAACTGCACTTGCTGTAAGGTAGGGCACTTGTTGTGCAGGACTGTGCTCAGGATTGAGAGAAGACAAAGGTGGCAGGTAAGATGACAGGGCTCAAGTATGTGGTTTGAGGCCCTGGCTCCAAACTGGTTCTTCCACTTACTGGCTGTGCATCCCCAGACAAGTTACCTAACCTCTCTGTGCCTTGTTTCCTAATCTATACCATGGGAATCATGTTGCTGCTGGGAGCATTAACTGAGCTAATCTGGAAAAAGGGTACAGCAGTGCCCAGCACATTGTTGGTGGCTGATAAACCAGTTGTCTTGGGACAGCCCAGCCCATGGTGGGAACCTCTGGGCTGGTCACCCCACCCCCCACCCACATCCCTTCCCATCATACCCCTGTCCTCCAGGCCACCCATCTGTTCTCACCTCCTCCCAGGCCAGCACCAGGTCAACGCCTTGGCCGAGGCTCCTCAGGAGGGACCTTTCCTGAAGGGAACTGAGGTGCCTGCTTGGGCTGGATGGGGTGCTGAGAACAAGTCCCACTGGCACCCAGGTTCCCTACTAGCCCTGAGAGGCGAGTCCCCTTGTCATCACCCAACCTACGGAGAAGGAGACAGAGCCCGCTTGGGGTGGCTCGCTGGGGCTGGAGCCTGGAGCCAGATCCCGCAGCGGGTGTGAGTGAAATAAACACCGTGCTCCGGTTGGGGCTGGGGCCGGGGGTGGGCGGGGGCCGGGCCGGGCCGCCCATCTGTTTATGTTCCGGCTGAAGCATGTTTAACTCGGCAGTGATTTATCCCTTTATTTATAAATGAAGGGTTAACGGGACCCCACCCCCACATCAGCCAAGCTGACCCTCCAAATAAGGACATTTCTGGCTTTTTCAGGAGAAAGGAGAAGGCTTTGGGGAGAGGCGGGGAGGAGGAGTGGCATAAGGGGCATTCTGGGTGCACATTGCCCCTTTTCCCACCTGCAGGGGAAGGGAAGACCCTTTCCTTTCCCTGTTCCCAAATTTCCTCCTGGTGGCCGTGTGCTATGAACAGGTGGACACTGCCCCCTCCCACTGGCCGGGTGCAGGAGGCTCCCTCTGGCAGCTCCACCCCTGTGGAATGGAGACCCTGAGCCCTGCCTCCCAGGGAACTGATGCCCGGCCCGGCTGAGGGTGGGCACAACAAGGGAATTCCTACTTTTGCAAGGTCAGGTCCGGCAGGGCAGGTGACCACATCTATTTTTGGGCTCAGAGAGGTCAGCTCATGCCTCAGGTCATCCAGCATGCCTTCTGTCTCTGGGACACCCGCCCTGGCATCTGCTGCCCTGGAGCCTGCTGGGAGGTCAAGTGCTGCTCAGGCCTGCACCCGGCCCCTCCTGTCACCCCCACCACCCACGGGCCCAGGCCTTGGCTCATGGGGTCTTTGGGTGGGCACTCGGCCCCCGGCCCTGGACAGGCCGGCCTCGATGGGTGTGTTTGCTGGACGGATTGATCCGTCCTCCTCCAGCCCCAGTGGGCTCCGAGAGACAGGGTATTTGGGGCAGGAAGAGACGTTCTGAGGGGGACGGCAAGGGGAGGTGACGAGGCTGGGGTGTGGGGGCCGGGGACCTGGTGCCTCAGGGATGTAGGCTTTGTCCTCTGGGCAACAGGGAGGCCAAGAAGGTCCCCAGGAAGGAGGAGGATGTCATCTAAGGAAGCACCCAGAGCTGGCCCAAGGGACATCATGGAACAAACATTTTTTTGGACCTACTTCTGCCTGTTTTTTCACTTTCCAATTTGTCTGCACTGGGCCTGTATTAGTGTCACAATCAGAGGCAAATAGTAAACATGACAGAATGCTTCCTCTGGGGGACAGTCCCAGGGTGACGCTGGCTTGGGGATCCTGCCCTTCCAGAAGCCTCCCTGGGCTGGCCTTGCATGCCCACCAGTAATGCCCTCGAGGTGCTGGGGGGCCAGGCCAGGGCTGTGGGAACACCCTGAGGTCAGATGGGTGAGAACAGTGGGAGCTAGCAATGCACTCTCAGCTCCAGGAGCCTAAACCCTGATCCCAGACAAAGTTGAGCCCCGATCTTGGTCACTCACCGAGTCCCCAGACTGGTCACACACTGAGCTACAATCCCAGTAACATCATGAACCTTGATCCCTGTTGCACTCTGAGCCCTGACCCTGGTGATGCACTGAGCCCTGGTCCTGGTCACACACTGATTCCTCATCTTGGTCACACACTGAGCCCTGACCCTGGTCACATGGTGAGTCCTGACCCCAGTAACACAATGAGCCTCAAAAGTTGTCATACTCTGAGCCCCAACCCAGGACATGCACTGAGCCCAACCCTGGTGATGCACTGATCCCCAATCCTAATAACACAGAGAGCTTTGATCCCATCACACTCTGAGCCCTGACCCAGGTCATAGAGGGAGCCCTGACCCTGGCCACAGCCTGGGCCTTGCTGGGAGTTTCTGTACCCACTGTCCCCCTTCTGTCTCTGCTGAGTCTGGCTATCTCTGTCTCTGCACTACAAAACCCCCACGTCCCCGTCAGTCACTTATTGCCATCTGTTCCTCCAGTGCCCAGTGCAGCCGGGCCATGCCCATCTTTCTCTTTGGCTGAGTGGATGCCCTGAGCAAACCGTCAAGGCCGCCTCAAACCCTATGAGGCCTGGTTTTTCCTTCTGGCATTCAGTGCCCTCCCCACCTGGCCTGGCTCCCTCCCCAGACCACTCAACGTCCCAGTACTGGGCAGAAATTGGCTTCTGTCCCCAACTCTATCCTCACTGCCCACCAGCCAAGCAGGGCTGACACCTCCTCTAGGAAGCCCCCACAGTCACTCTGACCCTTGGATTCATGCTGTATTCCCCCTTCCCACCCACCCCCCACCACCCTTGGTGGCAGTGGTCTTTGGTTCAAGCCAGCTCCACCATCCAGCACCTGACAAGCCCTGGGCAAGTCATCCCACTGCTTGGAGCCTCAGTTCCTCCACCTGTGACTCTGGGAACCACGTTTGTTGAATGAATGAATGAAATCAGGAAGAGTGGCTGGAGGTGTTGAACGTACTGAGAAACACCCGCAGACACCCCCAAATGGGAGGTGTGTAATTATAGTCAGAGCGCTGGAGTCTCCTGGTTTCCGCACCTGAATGGGGCTCTGCCTGGACCAGCCTGCCCACAGGTGGAGAGAGGCCCGGGCCATGCCAGGCACTCAGTGCAGGACTTCTCAGAGCCTCTGTGGAGCTCATGACCCTGGGAATCTCCCTGGGGGAGCAAATGAGCATCTCCTCAAGTCATTTGACCCTGTCCCCTCTCCTGGTTCTCCCACTCCATCCAGCTCGATGGTCACACCAACACTCCACTCCTGGAGCCCTGTGGGGGGCTGCAGCCTTGCTGTGCCCACTCACAGCTGGCTGGGTCCCTGCTATGTGCCCAGCAATGGAAGACCAAGACTCCCAGGGCTTGGGATGCTGGTACCTGTCCAAGGACCCTGAGTGGGGAAACTGGGGGCCATGCCAGCCTTCCCCTTGGCAGGTGAATGGGGGAGGGGCATGTCCTGACTTTTTGGGGGGCTCTCCTGAAAACCACCCTACCTGCTTGGCTGCCCTGCGGCCCAGCAGATGTCTCTCCCCAGCCTGGCTACCTCCTGTCCTGCCACATGTGGGACCAAGCAGCAAAGGTGGCTGACCTCAGCCCTGGGGCAACAGGTGGCCCTAGGTGGCTGCTGAGCCTGCCTGGGAGTCTGGCCCAGGATCTTGCCTGCTGACTGCAGCTCATGCACCAGGGGCTGGGAGTGGCAGGCATGGAGACCGGGCCTAGCCTTTTCTCCACCAAAGGGCTCTGAGCATCTGCTAGGGGCCAGGCACCTTGCAGGGCACTTTGGATCCACACAGCAATCCCAGCTTTTACAGGCGAAGAGCCCAGAGAGGTGAGTGCTGTGCCCAAGGTCACACAGCATGGAAGTGGTGGAGCTGGGAATCAAACCTAGGTCTTCTGGCATCCAGGCATGGGGTAGCAGGTCTGGACGTGGCATCTCTGAACCAGGAGTCTGTGCACAAGGGGTTCTTGAGGGCACTGAGGCCACATGTGTGCCCACAGGTCTGTGTGTGCTCGAGCCTGTGCCCCTGATGGAGTGACCCTCACAACCTTCCAAGGCCAAAATAGCCATTATTGGGGGAACTGTCTTCCCGTTTATTTTATAATTATTCTTGGTTTTGTGGCATCAGTTTTAGAACGTTGCCTGCTGATTTTGGCTGGCCTGAGACTGCTCATTCTACCCAGTGGCAGCTGAGCCCTCCAAAAGGGGCCAAACTTACCCCAGGTAACCCAGCAGGTCCTAGGTGGCACTAGCCAGAAACTAAGACCCCTCCTCCACCCCACCCCTGCCAGAGCTCCCTCTGCCCCAGCTCAGGGAGGGGGTCCACTCATGGGTATGGATTGAGCACTGTTGGGAAGGGCACCTCGGCTCCATCTTGCCTGACCCTGCCTGGCTCTGATGGAAACGTCACGTATCTCTGGGAAGGGCAGCCACATTTGGAGGTCCTGCCGGTCCCAGCCAGCCTCTCCCTGCTTCTGTATCACTCTGATTCATCGCTCCCCTCTAGCCTGAACAGCTGTAGCTGCAGCAGTCCCTGACACTCCTCCTCCCAGCTCAGCCTCTCTAGGGGCAGGCACTCCGCGGTGTGCGCCTGCCTGGTCTCTGCCTGCGCATCCTCAGCCTGGCACTCTCTGACTTTGCACACGCTGTTCCCTCTGCCTGGCATGCTGTTCCCACTGCCGGTACCACCTGGTGAAGGCTCCTGTCACTCACAGTCTCTACCCCACACAGCCTACCATGAGCCCTTCCAACCATCTGGTGCCCTGAACCCCCTCCCCTGGGGGGAGGGCTGTAATCCCACAATTCATGGTGGCACCTGCTGAGATGATCCTTCCCAAGGTCTCACTGACTCCTCCCAAGAGGCTCCCAAGTGGGTGTTGTTGGCCTTTTTTTTGCCTGTGAGGAAACTGAGGTACATGTGCAGAGCCACCCAGTTGGGTGGAGGATCTGAGGTGTGAGCTCTCCCTGTCCCACTAGGTCTTGCTGTCCCCCAGTGCACAGCAGGCTCCTTCTGCCTGGACTCTGCTGTTGACAGTTATATTCTGGCCCCACTGTGCAGAGAAGAATCAGAGGCATGGGGGGGCTGGGCAGCTAGCCTCAGGCCACACAGCCCAGCAAGTGGGTGAGGACCATGGGTTTTGGAAGCATCAGATGACCTGGACTGAAATCTCAGCAGAGGGGGCACAGAAGGGTCTCCCAGGCAGACCCAGCCCCCTTACAGAGCTCACAGCTGGGAGTGGGGTGGACCAGGAAGTGGCTAGTCGTGGAAGGATGGGCCTCAGGAGGGTCTGGAGGAGCAGAGTCCTGGGCAGTGGGGCGAGTGCGGCATGTGCAAAGGTCCTGGGTGGGAAGGGGCTTCTGCGCTCGAGCACTGTGTGAGGCCAATGGGGCCGGCTCGGGGCCTACGGTGAGGGGAGCGTCCTTCAGACCCCAGTGCGACTCTGCAGGAGGCCCCCCAGGAACACGGCTCCCGCACACCTTCAAGTGCTTGATCTTGTCTACGGTGCCCACTGCCTGACAGGTTGGTATTTATTTGTTTTCCCATTTATCGTGTTTCCCCCACAGGACTGGGAGTGCCATGAGGGCCCGGACCTAGGCGGGCCCCCTTGGGGCTGCAGCAGGGTAGCTGCTGAGTGAACAAATGATTTTAAGAAGACCACTCTGGCCTCTTTGAGCCTCAGTTTTCCCCCCTGTAAAGTGGACACACTGATAGCCACCTCATCACATCAGGTTACTGAGGACAGAATGAGACCACGCTGTAGGCTCCCAGCAGGTGCTGGGAGAATGTCCAAGCCCTAGTCCCTACCACACCCAAGCTGTCCAGCAGCAGACCCCACTTTTGCTGGTGGGCTGGCTCTGTGTGGCTCTGAGAGGGGCAGCAACTTGCCCATGGCCACACAGCCAGGCAGTCCCCAGAGAAGAGTAGAGCCCCTGGGTGACAGATATTGAGGAAAGAATTTGGGGGCAGGTGGGCAGGTCCAGCCTCCTGCCTTGGGCCGTGAGCTGCCGCCACGCCTTCTGTTCCCAGTGCTGCCCGAGGCCACCCAGCTGTTCTGCATCTGCCCCGCCCCAGCACCCTGGCCACCAGCCAGTTCCCAACCCGTCCGCCCCTCTCGGGACCCTGTTCCTGCTGCCTTCTCACAGAGCAGCTACACCAGGGAGAGAGCTGGGCTGGGCAGTGCCAGCTGCGAGGTACACGCTGGGGGCTGGGCACACAAGCCCACCCTGGGCCTCAGTTTCCCCACTCCTAAAAGGGTAAGGGGTAAGGAAAGGACCGGGCCCGGAGCTAAGGGCCTGAGCTGTGGGATGGCGGGACCAGCCCTCCACAGGGGGAGTGCCCCACTCGGAGCCTGAAGCCACGAGTCCCTCAACCCCCAGCCCTTCCACCGCCTGCGGGGCAGTGGTGGTTGAGGCCAGACCTTGCCACATGCCTCTGGGGTTCCCCAACCTCTACCCCGGCCTGGCCTGGGGAACCAAGGCCCAGCTTTGGGCCCTCAGCAGATGCTCGGTGAGGGTGCTGGATGGAGGGATGGATGAACGGATGAAATCCAGCGTGAGGGGTGGGCACCACGTGGGAAGCGTTCTGGCCCTTCGAGCCCCGCGCGAGGCCAGGCCGGGGTGCCTCCCCATGCCCCATCCATCCTGGCCAGCTTGCGCTGCCCTCTGCCTCCAGGGACTCAGTTTTCTCATCTGTAAAATGGCTCCCTGCTGGGCAGGACGGGCTCTGAGCTCTCACCTGCCTGGGCCTGGGGGCAGTTTCTCGGCCCTTCTCCCCTCCCGTTGCCTGCCTGGCTGGGGAATGAGGACACGCTGGCACTGAGCAGCTGGCAGGGGGAGCCGGGCAGAGGGAGGCCGGGTGGCCAGCCCGCGGGGGACTCACCGCTCCTTCGCCACGGGGCGGCTGGAAACGGGGAGCCCGCTCAGCCTCTGCTCCGAGAGCCGCTCCGCCCGCCCACCCGCTCGGACCGCGCCTTCCTGGGGCCTGACGTCAGGCTGTGCTCGGGGCTCCTTTTGGGTAAAGGCAGCGGGCTGGGGGCGGGCTGGGGGCGGGGCGAGCTCCTTCCCGCCCCTGCTGGCCCCCGGGAGAAGCTGGGCCCTGAGGGAGGGAGCCCGGGGCACCAGGATCTCCATGACCCCTGGAGACCAAGGGGGAAACTGAGGCACGGAAGGATGAATCCAAGCCGCACCACCCAGGAGTCGGGGAGGCCAGAAGCTGCAGGAGCCCAGGAGTGCGGTGTGGGACAGGAGGACGGGCCAGCCCAGTTTTCCGCCTGGGAGCGGGCGTCCGCGTGGGGCTTCCCCTCCTGGCTGCTCCACGCAGGTCTGTGTTCCTGCATCTCTCTCCGGGTTCTGTGCTTTGTGTGTTTTCTGCGCCTGGGTGTGCTTGTGTGTACCCGTGACTGAGAGCCTGCACACGGTACCTGGGCCTCTGTTTGTGCCCATGTGCGTGTCTTGTGGCACGTGGGGTTGGATGTGTGGGAAAGACCTGGACGTGACACAGGCCAGCAGGTGGGGAGAGGGAGCAGTTGTAAATCTCAGTGGTGGAGGAGGTGTGAGCTCATGGGACTGGCCATGGTCTGATCCCGGAGTGGTGGCTGGGAGGGTCTGTCCTCCTCAGAAAGACACCCTGACCAGGGACAGGCTTTGCGGCCAGCCTGGGGCTGGGGCAGGGTTTCAGGGTCTGAAGATAGTAGGGACTGAGGTTGGGGAGGCGTCAGGGTCATGTGCTGTTTCCTCTGTCAAGCACGTCCTCTCTCGTCTTTTCTGTCCCTGCACTCCTGAGCACCTGCTGAACAGGCGGTGCTGGCCACTGGAGATGCAGGGAGGGCTGCCTGAGAGGACCCCCCGCCTGCCAGAGCTCAGTCTGTTACGATGCAGACCAAAAGGAGAGAGAGGGCAAGCAGCGGGGCCCTAACCCAGCCTGCGGCAGGGGCGTGGTCAGGGAGGGCTTCCTAGGGGCAAAGGGAGGTGGAATGGGAGGCAGGCAGCCTGGAGGGGCAGAGGACTGGAGGCCATCGGGGTAGTGGGACCCCAAAGAGAGTAGAGCCCTGGGGGGCAAGAGATGAAGCTGGGAGTGAGCAGGGGGCTTCGACACTGAGTCTCAGCAGCTCTTATGGGCACCAGAGTGGTGGGCTTGATCCCCTGGGCAATGGGGAGCCATTGAAGGTTCTGGACGTGTAGTCCTATCACTCTGGAGTGGCCTCCCTGCTGCTGTGAGGCTAAGCCCACAGGCCACGTTATCTCCTTAGAACAGTTGTATCTGCCCCAGATGGGGAAACTGAGACCCGGAGAGGTGCAGGAACCTCTGGTCCATCCAGGCCCTACACCTGTCCCGGCTGGCAGGGCACGGGCACACAGGGTCTTGCTGGGTCTATGTGGGATGAGGGGGAGTGTGGATTCAATGTCATTTCTGAGAGGGGGTGGCCTGGAGGTGGCCAGGATGGGGGTAGGGGCTGGAAGGCCGAGCCAGCAGAGGCTCAAATTTTATGAGCTGGCAAGGGCTGCTGAGTCACAGGCAGGGCTGGCCAGGCCTTGTGCCCATCGCTGAGGGCCTGAGGGCTCCAGCCTGGTACAGTCAGGCTGGTTCCCAAAGAAATCTTGGAGAGAGCCTCCCAAATACAGCAGACACCAGCAGTCTGCCTGGGGATGGGGTAAGGCTAGGCTGTCTGTTGCTGGGGTCAAAGGTCAGACAGTGGCTGAGCCAGGGTCAGGCCCCCTTCAGGGGTGTCTGATTGGAGCAGTGCAGGGTTGGCCGCCTGTCTTGTGGCTCCATCAGGCATTGCCGGCGAGCGGGCCTGGTGGACAGTCCTCCCCAAGCCCACAGAAGAACCCTTGGGGGCATCGGGCCACCCCGGGTGGGACACCAAGCATCCGCTGTGAGCCCCATGGCATCTCTCCCTGCTGGGGCATTTATGCTTCACGATGCCCAGGCAGCGCTAGTGCCACAGGGGTCTCCCACAAACAGCAGCCAAGGGGGCCTTCGGGGGAGGGCGGGGGACACTGAGGCCAGCAGACACTGGTGACAGCCAGAAGGGTCCTGCCACCAATCCTAGCACCTGAGACTCCAGACCTCATCCATCCTTTCAAGTGGCCCTTGTTTGGGTGCCAGTTGAGGATACAAATGGCACTGGGACTCTGACCATGGTTTCCTGAAGACTATCCAAGGGGGCAGCCAGGCTGAGGGGCCTGCCAGGGCCGGGGGTCACAGGCTAGCTCTGTGGGGCGACTCCTGCCCTCCCAGGGAGGCCAAAGCTATGTCAGGAGGAGGGAAGGGGTATGTGAAGCCTCCTACAGGGGGTGATCAGAGAAGCCCTGGGGATCGTTCCTAAGGGTTCACAAGTCCCCGCCTGTGCTTTGGATTCACTGGGCAGTGCCTGGGCAGGCACCCACCAGGGGGGGTGGGGAGAGGTGACACGTGTGTTCAGGGTAGGAGGGGCCCCTTCGGCAGCCCCGGGTTCAAGCCCAGCTCTGCTTCTCAGTCTCCCACACAAAGTGGGGACAATGCGTCCATGCAGGGAAGGTGCCCCACCCTCTTAGGAAGCACCTAGTCCTGCCTGTCACATGAGACATTCCACAGGAACACTCATCACGTCAGATTCCAGGAAACGAGGCGGGGGGGACAGGACTGACCCCAAGACTGACAGCCGTGAGTGGGGGGCTGGCTTAAACCTGGTCTGCTGCCTCCTCCGTGTCTGAGGGGGCAGACACAGCCTCCTCCGTCAGGCCAAGTGTATGGGGCCTTCAGGGGTGGAGGGCTGGAGGAACGGGGTGGGCTTTGGGGCGGCAAATGGAGCTCCGTGGGGGCAGAACTTCTGCAGGTGAGTGAGGGGGCTGGGCTGGGAGCTGCCCAGGCATCTGGAATCATCTGGGACAGCTGACCACAACCTGCCCCCTGGGAACCAACCAAGGCACTCAGTAGTGCACCTGGTACATAGCTGGAGCTCCGTGCACGGGGACTCGGCTCTGGAGCTCTGGGGAGCCATCTCAGGCTGACCGACTGCTGCTGCAACCACCGCCCTCTGGGCTTTGCCTCTTGGTTCCCTGGGCCACCCTTCCATGCCTCGTTTGTCCCACAGGAGTCCCCTCAATCTCATCTTGTCCCACCTTCTGCTCTTACAGCCGGAGAAATCAAGGCCCAGAGAGAGATGGAGACCTGTCCAAAGTTACATAGCAAATGGGGCATGGCAGACCCTGTGCTGGAACCAGGCCTGGGCTTCCAGCTGTCACCGGCAGCTGCATGGCAGAGCCCAACTCCAGGGCTGGCAGGCCAGCTGAGTGACTTGCTGGTAAGCTTGGTGTTTTAGACTGTGAAAAGAGGCCCCCACAGAACAGTGCTTCCTGTGGGCCCAGTGAGACTGTGGTCCTGCCCACAGCAGGCACAAGGTGGGACGCAGTGTGGGTAGTTGGCGCTGCCGAGGGGAGGCCGCATGGAGCATAGGGCGGGGTCCCTGCGGGGAATGCCGAGGGGTCCGGGAGTGCTGGGCTCATCGAGAAGGTGAAGAGAAAGTCCCAGGTCTCCAAAGATCCAATCCAGGAGGGCTTGCTGGAGGAGGAGGCCTCTCAGGATTTACACCGGCTTTGCACCAGCTCTGCCCGGCCTTGCCGTGTGCCCAGGTGAGGTCCGAGTGTGTGGGGAGTGGACTGGGCTGGCCCCGCGCCACACCCCTGTATCTCAGCCTGCAGAACGGGCCAGCAGGGGCTCAGGGGGAACACTTGAACAGAGGACCTTGGAGGCCCCCGAGCTGGCCCCACCTTTTATAGATGAGGAAATCGAGGCCCAGAGTGGGGCTCAGCCACCAAAACTCAGCCGCAGCTTCAGGTCCCCTCTGAGGCTCCCTGCGGTCCGGGCAGGTGCTCCTAGTCACGGCCCTGACCTCCTTGCCTGGACTGGCCAGGCCCGGCCAGAAGGGTACACTTCCTATCCTCCGGGTCCCACCCAGGGCAGTGAGGGCAGCAAGGACAAAGGACGAGGACTGCCAGCTTACCTGGGGACTTCCTGCTGGTTCCGTTCCAGACCTGCACCTGGGTCAGCTTGTTTCATCCTGCCCCCTCCTCGTGAGTGTCCCCACTTGGAGAGATGGACCAAAGTCCCCTCCCTCAGGCGCACACAGCTGGGCCCCAGAAGAGTCAGGGGGGGAACCTGGGAGTCCTGGGGCCGGGCCACGGGGTCCGAGGAGGTGGCAGAGCCTCTGGGGTGTGACCGATGCAGGGGCTGCTGGGGCAATGCACTCACCTGGGGGAGGGTGAGAGGAGGCGCCAGGGCCCTTGCAGGGGCCTCGCTCCTCTCCCTCCCCCCATGACCTTCTCTGGACATTTGGCCTAGCCTGGGAGGGGCTCTGATGGGGCTCGCACAGGGGCTAGAGTGAGTGCAGGTCCAACGGGCATGTGGCCTGGGCGGACAGTGTGGGGTCCAGGAACTGCAGTACAAACCAGGGCCAGCTGTGAGACCCCACTAAAGTGACCCACTGCTGGGTCGTGACCTGCAGTTGGAAAACACTGGTCCAGGGGGGTGGGCACTCATAATAGTAACAGCTGCCATTTATCCAGCACTTCCTACGTGCCAGCACGGGGTTGAGCACTTCAGGTGTGTTGACTTAATTTCCCCAATAGCCCTCCAATGGGGTCACCCTTGTTACTGTCCTCAAAAGAGGAATGGGAGGTTCTGAGTGGTGGTCACCTGCCCATGGTCATGGTCATGGTCACGCAGCTAGGAAGGGGTGGAGCTTTCAGGCTGCCAAGCCCTGAAATTGCCCTGCTGAGCTGGGCCTGCTTTCTTGCTGGAAGCTTCAGGAACACATACCGCAGGCACTGTGGCAAAGACCTCACACCCCAGGACCCAGCACCCAGGCCAGGAGTGTTGGGTTGGAGATCTCTCCTGGGTCCAGGTCCTGCTCTGGGGGTGGGCTGAGCTGTGGCTCCCTCTGAAGAGTCAGACTGACCTCCCCAGGTCAGGAGCCGGTCATGTCCCCCTGCAGGGCCTTGGGATCTGCTTTCTATTTCAGCTCTTCCTGGCCTCGGATGGCCCCATGGGACCGGAAGAACTGTGTCTGTGTCTGCTCAGTGGACCCTGGATGCCTGAGCTCTCCTGACCTTGGCTGCCACGCCAGCCCTGGAGCAGGGACAGAGACACT